TATTAATTTAGAATAAGTATGTATGAAATAAATCTTTTGCCATTGCACAGTCACCATAACCCAGATGAGCTATGCTCAAGCCTGTCCTTAGACCCATCTTTATTTACATTTTGATTGGCTGCCATTTGAGTAGGCAGGAGTATTGTCTCACAAAACAATGACTTTTAAAGCTATGTAAATGAATTATTTATTATCATTTGCAAGTGGGAGAAAAGCTGGGCTGAGTGCCATTTCTTTGAATGATCATATGGTTATCTCAAGAAATACTATTTTTTCTTTCACTGCCATAGTAGGAACATCTTTCTGATGATGTACCAGTATTCTAGCCATGAATTAATTCTGTACATACATTTATTTTATCCTAGGGGAAATGACTGCTTTTGTTTTCAGCAGAGACATAACTGTGTTGACAAGAATTACCATGAAGTCTGCTTTGGGAACTGCTTCACAGAACTGTGTATAGGCAAGCGTGCTGTCTTGCCTAATACACCAAGGTTGTATTTACATATTGGGTATTAGATATTCCATGTCTTGCACCAAACAAATAAGGCCATAATCTCCCTGCTTGAGCCACTGTCATCAGGAACGTTAGTAGCTTTCATCAGGATGTGGTAGGCATTTTGCAAAAGCCTTCTGTGGGGTTTGTCAATCCTGTTGAATGAGATTGTGTCTAGAGTGTAGGAGTCGTGGCTTAACCCAGGCTGGATTTTGAACTATTATAAGGATAGAGCCATAAACTGAAAATATTTTCCAATTAATAGTCAATTCTTTCCCAACTAATTGCACTGACAGTGTTTAGCAATTTAAATAAGTGCTGAAATAAATAAAATTGTTTAGCAAAAAGAAGGGAGGGGAGGGCTTCTCTTGGAAAATGTAGTCACAGCAACACAGCACTTGAGAGAGAAAATGAGGGTGGAAGTCTCGCTTATTATCAGTGCGTGTTCAAACACAGCCAGTCCAAAAAAAAAATTAAGCTCTTGTTAGTGATTGAATCAGTTATAAATAGGCACAAATGTCCTTTCTGCCTAGAAAGCCTGAGATTACTCAACAGATGCAGATCTTATTCACTGTGATTGACAGTGGCAGAATGGTAACATAACTTACTGGTACTGAATGTAAATGCAAATAATTCCCATGAATTGCTACCTATAATTGCAAGCAGTTAGTTTTTTGCAAAGGGTCATTCAGCTGTCCAAATTGCATTCTATTTAAGTGTCGTGCACTTAAAAATACAAACTCTTAAGAGTAACTGCAGATAGAGAGGTGTTATATCAAGGAGATCAGTGTTTCCATTAATGAGTTACACAGGAGAATGAAGTAAAGTATTGCCACATTAGCAGATTTCAGTTGTTGGAGAAAACCGAATAAATTCAGCTGTTCTGGAGATTCTGGAGTCCTACATCCTAGAAAATAGAACCCGTTGAAATCATATAAACATATTAATGTAAGAGCAAAACCAGGATTAATTTATAAGGGATGTTTCATTTGCTTTTGATCTGGTTTTATTTGCTGTCACTACCTTATAACACTTTTCTGTTACAATGTAGCTTCTTTCATGAACAAAATGCTTCAGAGCAAGCTGTGCTACATTCTTTACGGGCTTTTGGTAAGATGCACTTGGGTCTGCACAGAAACCTAAACACTTCTTAGTCAGCTTTCTCACTCCTGTACTGAACTTATGTAGGCTGAGCTTAGGGAAGATACTTGTCGATGAAATATCCTTTGTGCTAATGGACTAAATTTATGCTAAGTTAGTGAGAGATGCTACACAAATGTGATTGTAGCTGCCAATGCCATATAAAACTCGAGGTCCCAGTCAAATGGAAGTGTATAGTATTGTATTTTTCCTAATACATTTAAAACTTCTCAGCATTCTAGGATTGGGTTTTCCTTTCCCTCCCTCTAAGTTGCTTGAGGCTATTTCATGGTCTGACCTACATAGCTGGCAGACAGCTCCATTGAACACTAACTTCAGCTGCACTGTGACAATCAATGATTACACCATTTTTCTCTTCTTTCCCTCCAGGGCTGTGGAAGTTACCTCTTTTTCCTGTCTTCTCAGTATGATTATTATTTTTCCACACAAGTTAAAGGATTTTAAAAATGCAGATGTTCTCCTCCTCATTGTGTTTTTATTTTACTGGTTCTAGGTATGTGAATATTCAGATGGAACCAAGTCTTTGAAGCTAGGAGACTTTGGACTGGCAACTGTGGTTGAAGGACCTTTATATACCGTCTGTGGTACACCCACATATGTGGCTCCAGAAATCATTGCGGAGACAGGGTGAGGATGACCGACTGAGGCATAGGTCTTGTAACCAGTTATTTTTGGCAAGTAGCTCCTAACTGTTGTAAGTATTAGAATGATCTAATAGGATGGTCCTCCAGCTTTTCATAACCAAACCTACCTGTGAGAAAAATGGGCATGATTCAGCTCCTCGAAGATGCTAGCTTCCTCGTTCACCGTGCTTCCTGGGTTCAGCTTTGCCCCTCTACCATCTCTCCTAGGATCCACTGATACAGTGGAGTTTACTGGTTTGTGTTCCCTGTCTCACCTCACCCATTCAGAGCTCATTGTATGAGCCATGGCAGCTGGAAAAACGGACAAGCAAAATACAGTGTTCTTGTTAGAAATTGAATGATTTATATTGGAAGAGACTTCAGAAGTCACCTAGTCTAAATCTGTTCTCCAAGCAGGTCTAATTAGATCATGTTGATTCAAGTGACCTTCTTTAGGTGGCACATGTTATTTTATGAGTGTTGGTTTGATTGAACAACCCCTTTTTTTCTGAATTTTGCATGTGGTTGCATAAATAATTTTGAAAAATGGTAAAATTTCATAAGTCATTTTTTCCTTTTTAGCCTTATTAGACCTCCATTCTTTGCTAGGTAACTCTTGCTATAGCTGTGACCGTTCTGAATTTGGTCTTCCTAATGGAGGGAGGTTTGTTGTATTGTTTCAAGCATTGTTCAGTGCATTTGTCATATTGAGAAATATTTCACAGCTACAGCGAGCTCAAATGTCAAAGGGCACTTCATCTGCATGTTTTAGATTTTTGACAAACTGAATTGACTGGATAGAAAAGAAGAGGAAAAAAGGACCTCTTTTTGACCTGTAGTGTTTTAATTTCTGTGCTTTGAAAGTGCAGTTCTTTTTCCTTGTGTTACTCAAGAGATTGGAGAATTGGTATCTTTCTTGTTGCTTAGCAACACATGATAACCTTAGAGATAGTTACTCCAATATGAGGACTGAGAAGGCACATCCTTGTCTTTTATCATTAGTGATTCTGAGTTGGGAAACCTGGGCACTGAATTGAATCTGAGTATATCCAGAAGACCCTGGAGAGCCTTGAGGCTTATGAAAGGACAAAAACAATCTATGAAAAAATGATGTTATTATGGTTTCCTAAAGACTGTGAAGGATGCTAAATAAAATGATGCTTAGGTACAAAAGACATTTTCCATATCGTCAGCAAGTAACTTAGAACAGATTCTCAATATATATATTTACATAAATAGAATCAATTTTCGAATGGAATTACTTACTTTTTTTTTTAATCCAACACAATCCTGTTTTCTCAGGTACGGCTTAAAGGTGGATATTTGGGCTGCAGGCGTGATCACATACATACTGTTATGTGGATTTCCACCTTTTCGCAGGTGAGTCAAAGGAAAAAAGAGTAAAGAACCAAGTGCTTTCTGAGCAAGTCTTACCTCTCTCCCTTAAGAAGGTATCCTAGGGAAAGCAAAAAAGAAAAATCTGAGAGGGGATTAGACTGTCACATTTTCTTTATTTTTGTATTGTTTTCACTCTTCCCTCTTACCAGCTCTTGGGATCAATTTTATTTACTTATTTTTCTAAGGGAGAAACCTGATTTGCTGCGGAGTGCAGGGATACATGGTGGTGTGAGGCCATAGTTTCTTCTGCCTTTGTCTGCTCTGTGTATCCCAGTTCAATGAACGTGAATACTTTGCCCTCTAGTGTTGCTGTTTGCACACAGCCGCTTACTGGTTTGTAGCGCCGAGGTTTGAAGGTTAATGGTAAACTTGAGGTGAGAGCAAAAGTTTGCTTATGTTGCATTTTTAACTTCACTTATCTTTTTGATAAGTGTCACATGAGAGAAGGAGTTTGCGAACGTGATTCTTGCTACTCAGTGTCACAATGTGTAGGTGTTCTATGGAAAATCAAATGGATACACTTTGTGTCTCAGCAAGTTTTTTTTCCCCAGGCAATGAGGAGGAATTGGCACACTTTAATAGGGAATTCTTGTCTGAACTTATAAGTTATTTGAGCATATTCTCTCCATTTTTACAGCAAAATACACCTCAATACATTAGTTTTTCTGTTCTTATCACTCCTGACTGTGTAACTAAAGCAAACACCTCAGAAGTGCTACCACTATATAAGCTTGCAAATTATGCATTTACAGTAGTTGATATAACACCATTTCTGTTACATCCCCAAATCAAGCAAAAAATTTTCATGACAAATTAACTTACTTCTCACAGTCTTTCTCATTACTGTTTTTCTACAGTGAAAACAACCTTCAGGAGGACCTCTTTGATCAGATTCTTGTTGGGAAGCTGGAATTTCCTTCTCCCTATTGGGATAACATCACTGATTCAGCAAAGGTACTGATACATTTTCCAACCTGAAATAGTGTTGCTGACAAGCCATTGAAAAGGCTGTGCTCTGTTGGAAAGGCAGAAAAGATTCAGAACAGACTCTTACCCACTTTTGCAGCTGCTGCGCCTTTTTTTTTTTTGTTTGTTACTTAGCTTAACACTGGTTGATGAGAGCTCAGCTTTTATAGGTTATCATGTTATTGTCTGAGTAGCAGAATGCCAGTTGCATTCAGTGAACATCACATGCTATTCAGTTTACTTAATGATGGACTGTTGTAGCAGGCTCAGTGTTTCAGCCATAAAATAAGTCTGTCTTCTAATTTCTCCCTCCTATCACTCCTTTAAAAAATAAAAATTATTGCTATGTGGACAGAATTTGTTCCTGTTTTACTTTAGCCAGTTATTAGAACTAATCAAGAGTTGTGGCCAGCTTGATTTATCATTACTAATAGTTCTTATCACGGCCATTTGTGTTTAAAGTGATGGTATTGGTAGGATAAAGGTTCTAAGCCCCACTTCTCAAGCTGAATGATATCTGAGGACTCTAATTAGCAAGTGGAGGTTATTTGTTATCCAGCCAATGAGAAGTTGCATTTTTCTGCATTCCTCAGTGGCTGTTTATCCATTTGCCAACATTTCCGAAGCTCCAGTCATCTCTCACTCCTCCAGACATGCATTCAGAGCAAACAAGGCCCTCAATCTAGGTACTAAAGGTACCTACACACTTCAGACTTAGACTAAATAACTTGGCTGGCTGGGAAACCTCTCGGTTAGGTGTGTTATTATCTGCTTGAAGAAGCTGTTTCCCAGAACTGAAGTGATGAACGCTCTCCTTGAGATACTCTTGATAAGAATACGGAGACTGACAACTGGAGGCTGTGAAAGGCTTTTCAAGGAGGAGATTTGGCTCCAAGTACATGAAGTTGTTCATTTTGGATTGGGGCATATTTGTCTTACTAGGCTTGTAGAACCAAGAATTACACAAGTAAACTATTTAGTTGCTCAACAAGAAACTTGAATGAATAAACAACATTAAAAAAGTTGGTTTGAGTTTTTGGTGTTGTTTGTTTGGGGTTGTTTTTTTAATTTTATTTTACTGACTGCTTTGTATCAGTGACTTCTTAAGGTCTGTCATATCTGTAGGCACAGTTAACAGAAAGCCCATGGAAGTATTTGAGAAAGCTAAAGAGGCTTTAATGCCTCTAAAATATGATGAAAGCCACAATACCAAATCTTTCAGGATTAACTGTATAATTAGTAGAAATAAGCATTTTTCCATCTATCTGCTTTTTCCTATACCAGCTGATGAAATGAGTCTTTTATTCCTCTGGAGCAGAAGAAGACATAGTTCTCAAATAATTTCAGCAGTTTCTTGACTTTCAGATGCAGTTTCTTGTCTCTGATCTGTGTTCTTCATGTACTGTTACTATGTGCATATGCACTGCCCATAGAGGATCTCGCCTGTCCCAGGTTTGTTTTCATTCTGGTTGCCTGGAACTTTATAGCTGATTTTCTTTTAACATTTCCTTTTTCATCTAGTTTCAAAAGATTTGGTGAAACATGAATACAGTAAGGAAGTTGATATGAAATATGCTCTCCAGCATGCTCTTAGATCTAAAGAGCAAATTCCGCTATAAAGTTATTCTGATATCACTGATTCTGGGAACAGTGTAAGCAGTTTTGTAATTTTTTCACCCAGATAGCAAGAAAATTGCACTGAGAAAAACGTGGTGCACCAGTATTTTCCATTGTAATGTCATTTCCCTCTCTCCTCAAACTCATTTTTTTCTTTTTTTTTTTTTAATAAAGGAGTTAATTAGCCTGATGTTACATGTGAATGCTGAAGCCCGATATACAGCAGCACAGATATTAAGCCATCCCTGGGTGTCAGTGAGTAAATTACATTTTACTTGTCTCTGATTTGATATTAAGTCTGTAAATCTAACCATTAAAGAAAGGGTAGTTTTCAGAAGCAGCAATACGCTTCTATGCCCATTTCTGTCTACTGAACCACTAGTCCCGTTTCCACATAAAAAGAGAACAGCAAGCCTCTGAAGTAAGCTTCAAGCCCTAACAGCGCTCCTGGCTTGCACGCTCAGAAAGAACAGAGTGAGGGTATCACTTGCTGACAGTGATTAGAAGGCTCTGGGCATTGCTATAACCCTGCTTAAACATAAAGTGACAGGTAAGACGTGTCACTTGGGTAGCTTTGTCTTACTTCACATTCAAGCTAGAAAATAGTTACCTGAAAAAACGTGTACCTTGGAAGCAGCTTTTTTGGGGCAGCAGCAAAGGGGAACACCAAAGTGCGTTGCTTATTGATTTAAAATCAGTTCATCATTAATAAATACTAGGTTTACATGTACTCAGTCAACGTATATTTCCACACATTGTAAAAGTGAGACTGAATAGGATCTATGGAGTTCCCTCCAACAAGAGCAGACAACTGTAATGAGTGTGTCTATGCATAACAGCTCCTCTCAAATGTATTTATGGTACTGTATAATATTTCCACACTTAGGACATGATGGACCGTTTCAAATGCTAATTTAGAAAAATGCCAAATACAGTGTTTAAACAGTGTTTCGAGCATGTTATTCTTCACATGCTTGAAACAAACTTGCAGCTTATTGTGGGATAAATCAATGGGCTGAAAGTATACAGCATCACATGGCATTTAAGAAATAGATAAAACAATAGTTTTCATATATAAAACAGTGTTCTGTTCTTTTCCTTTCTAACTTGTCTTAGCCCATTTGAGCTGCGTCGCGTATAGCAGTGTGCATTCACTTTTGGGCTGCAAGTCTGAACGCTTGCTTTGCATTAAAAAGCTGGAAATACCTGAGGATAATAGAAAAATTCCCTTTTGCTTAATTACATTCAAAAATACTTTGGTTTTTTTCTAACCTGACTTATTGTGTTTATTCTTACTTAGGATGATGCTTCCCAGGAGAATAATATGCAAGCTGAGGTAACAGGTAAACTGAAGCAGCACTTTAATAACACCCTACCCAAGCAAAATAACACATCTGCTGGGGTTTCTGTCATCATGGTAAGAGAAATGACCATTGTTATACATCGATACTACGCATATTTTCCTAACAGTGCTCTATGAGCATGTGTGGTGCAAGAATAGCAAAAGCAGAGCTAGAATAGTCTCTAATTCTAGTCCTTATTTATGTATAACATGAATTATGTCATCATTGCTTGAGAGCAACTGAGTCTATCACAGTGTGCCAGCTAAACTGTAAAAACAAGCTTTCAAACAGAACCACGTAAACACTAGTTGTATGTTTAAATTAAGCGTATTAATTATTTGCAATTTTTAATTATAAAAACTGTGATTTTTTTTTTTTTTTTTTTAATCATACTGACCACCTAGTTAGTTAAGTAGGGCTGTTCCCTTCTGTCCAACCAAGTATTGCTCAATCTTGAACATACTGCTGTTCAACACAGCGCTTGCCAGGAAACCAGACTCCATTTCAGAAACTTTTGTTGTAGTATTTAATGCTCACCACATCAGCTTTGTCCCAGTCTAACCCCTGCTTTGTTTTTTCTATTCCCTAATGGGGAACTTTTCTTCAAAGCATACAAAGGAATCTTGATGACCTACAGCTCCGCTTACATAAACACTAGTTCCCAGATGTGTAAATCATGGTAGAAGAAGTGGAGTTTACTGTAACCAGTACTCAGAACCCCACTTGTTATTGACCAGTCACTTTTGCAGAAACTATGCAACTGCTATAGAGATTGAACTGCCCATTTTGCTCTTGTGGTGGTCCATTCTTGTCTGTTGCAAGGATGAACACTGCAAACAAAAAGTATCTTCAGTTACTAAAAGAAAAATAAAAACCATCTATGGTAGATTTCCACCCCCATTGCTCTCCATTAGTGTTAATTACTCTCAAAGTCCAGCCCACTTATGTTAACAATTGTTTTAATCACCTGAAAGTAGGTAACTTTAAATAATGTCTCTGCGTACATATATGCTCTTGCAAATACATTTATGTGAATTAAATAGGCCAAAGATTTAAACGTAGGGGAAGTGGTAACGTAAAAGTAAAAATGAGAGAAGTCAGAAAATGGATTTCAGGTTCATGCTGTTGTCTACATTTCATTTGACAGTTTGACTTGACAGTTTGAGAGGGACTTCAGAGCTTCATTCTTTATACTGTTGAGACTATGGATAAGCCTGAAGCTGAAAACTGGTATAAAATGCACTATATGTAATAAGAGCAATTTAATTCTAACTCTTGGCCCCTCTCCAACTTGCATGCCACTTAAGCCTGTCTCAGATCTCTGACACAGCGTAGCTTCTGGCTTCTTATTGGTGTGGGTTTTTTTCTGATTCTGTTAGCTACTGCCAGTCCTTCAGCCAGGAAAGTACCCCTTGTTAAAAGTTTTCACTTTCCCTTTTCCTGCCTTATTTCCTTCTAACAGGTATGGAAGGATGTAAATGCGAAAAATTATTTATTTCTGAATGCAGCTCCCAGTTATTGCTGAAGGGAAAAGTACCTTATTCAAAACACTGTAACCTAATGAGGGTTAAGGCCTCAATTTGTTATTCTTGCCCTGTTTTATCTAGAGCATTGAACTTGTCTTGATGTTAAGAAGTTCTTCACTTGTACTAGCGCTCATTGCTTAAAAACATTCAGATTCAGACATGCACAGTATTGTAATTCTCATGTATTGCAGTGCATTGCTATATCAGTCCACCTGCACATTTAATGGAATCCCTTTTAGCTTCACTTCATTTATATATTGTCATCTGGCCAATGCAGATAATACCATCATGTGGCAGATAAGTAAAACTGCACATACCTACTTCAGTGTTCTTGCACAGGAGACTCTTTCTCCACCTAAAAGCATGTTGCTGTTAATTCATTACTGATTTTTTTTTTAATTGCAAAATGTTCTGTAAATCTAAATTTGTTGCAATTGTGTTAGTTCTGCTTAAAGTAAGTCTAGTTTCTGTCCCTTGCTTCCTTCCCTTTTCCTCCTTTCCCAATGCCTGCATTGCTTTCCTCTGAGTAGGTCCAAGGCAATGGTACGTACTAACTGCGATGCTTTGTTCTGCTGCACCAAAAATACATGTTCTCCATTTTTAACAAGACGAAAGGAGAAATAACTCAGCCAGTCTGAAGTGGAAAGAACCTTCCAAGCCACACAAAAACAGTAAAGGAAAGGTTTTTAAACACAAAAAAAGTTTTCTGTGTAAGTCTTGCATATTGGAAATATTCCAAGCAAACATGGATATAACTAGCTATTTATTTACCTCCTCAGACATACCTTGCGCTATTCCCCTGGGCATAATTTTGTGCATGTGTGTATCTTACAGTAACCAAAAGCAATTAGAAAAAGATGGAAATCCTATGAAGACAGAACCAAAAAACCAAAATCACTGAAAATAACCATTATTTCCATTTAAAATAAAAAAAATTGTCACTTCAGTCTTTGTAGCATCATGGAGCTACTTAGAAGGTAAACAGTCCTAACTTAATAATAATTAAAAAAAAAAAACGTCTTGCTTGGCAACAGTAAAATTAAACTACTTCTTCAATCTTTAAAAAAAACAACCCTAATCCCAAATTGATTTACCTAGGTATGTATTGCTATGTGCAAGGTGTGAGAGCTTATCAGAGGCTGCTGTGAGGACAGCATAGGAGGAAATCACTGTCAGCAGAAACTGAAAATGTTTCTTACCACTTTCAAATAACGTACCCTGCCACTGAAATAACAGAAACCTCTTTATTCACAATTCACTTTCCAGCAAGCAAGAGAGAAAATGCAATCCTACCAGCTACTTTGATAATGATAAATGTACTGTATATCATAGCTAATCTTGAAAGCCTGGGCACAGTTCAGGCAGTCCTTTCCTTTGCATGTTCCATTTGCAAATTCAATTTTTAGTTGCAGAGGATTCAGTTGTGTACTGTCAATTTTTTTTCCTTTTACCTGGTTAATATTGTAACTGGATTTAAAACAAAACAACAACAAAAAGAAAAAAAAAAAGCCCACTCACAAACAACCACCCCCTCCCTCACCCAGACACACAAAACCTCCCTAAATTCAAATTCAAATTGTTTAACCTTTTCTTTGGGGAACTTTTATACTCAGTACTTTGATCTGAAAAAAACACACAGGAAGGCCTTGGAGGGAGGAGGGGTATCATGAGGCTGCTTGCTGCCTCCCCTGCCCCAGCGCAGAGCAACCTCCTTACACAAAATAGTCTCAGTGGGAGAATCTGAGTGAGACTGATTCCAGAGCAACTCCCCATCTGCACACCTGCAAATTCTAGAAGTCCTCTATTTGAGAAATCAGAGCTACTAGTCCAGCTCTCCTTGCCAGGTAAAAATGAAATTTGAATTCAGGTACCTCAGAATGAAATAAGTGTTCACTATCAAGCTTTGTGAGCAAGGATAAGTACCTTATTTCTGCTGTCCTTGATGACTTCAATGCAATAAACCACATCTGAAAAGAAAAAAACCAAACATGCTCACATTTAACTAGTTTCAGAAAATTACTTCAGTATCTAGAACTGCATAATTTTGTGAACAGTATATTAAACAAATGCCATTAAGAATACATAAATATTTTCACATTAGTAGAGCAAGTTCTCCTGAACAATCAATCTAAAAAAGAAATTACTAAAGAAAAGCAGAGCACCTGACCACATACTCCAAGTAATACACATACTGCACTATAGGCTTCTCAGTTTTCATCCTAACCTGCTGCTCTCTTCTCCAGTAAACTCATTTAAGAGAAGCGGTCAGAAACGATGCATTTTTGTCACCATGCCAGCTTCATGAAAGGTCATTTGCCTACCATCAACATTAAGCAGAAAATTAGACCCTTTCCTTTAAGATCAAAAAAGTCATTAGGTTGGGGGTTTTTTTACATCTGTCGTTTTCATGAAGAGATACAGTTCCGTCCCAGGTGGTCTGTCTACAAAAAAACACAGGAACATAAATTTCGTGACCAGCTTGTATGAAGAGTTCCCGCTGTATTATAACTTCTCATGTAATGTGTTGGGGTTTTATCCACATCAGACTTGCAAGAAAAAATTTTAGTCTCTCACCATCATGGCAAACGTGTCTGGAAGATAAGTTTACATTTTCCAAAGGTGGCACCACAAAACACTACAACTAATTATACATAAGATTTCTAATGTTATTTCTCTTTTTTTTTTTTTCTGGCTCTAATGCATGCACTTAATGTCTTGTAGAGCTTGTTGTAACCCTTCAGTTAAGGCAGGACTTTGATTTAACTGCTGTTTTCGTATTTTTGCCTTGGTTTTGTTTTGTTTGTTTTTAGAACACAGCTCTAGATAAAGAGAGTCAGATTTTCTGCAGCAAGCACTGTCAGGACTCTGGTAGAGCTGGAATGGAGAAAACTTCTGCGATTACTGCTGCAGCTGACGATCCTCCTGTGGCTGGGTCCAACACCCCCTTCCCTGCTGCTTCTGAGCCACTCAGCTCCCCCACACTCCCCGCCTCCGTATCTCCCACCTTCGCTGGGGATCAGCCTGGTGCATAGGATTGACAAAACCAAACCCAACTGAAGCTCCCTGCGCTCTCGCCACAGTTTCTCATCATTTCACGTGCCAGCTTGTTTTTGGTTTGTGTGCACCCTCGCCTGGCAAGCCCGAGGCAGGCTCTGTCATGGGAGACTGATCTAATAGTGGGTGAGTGAACGTGCGTCTTGAGTGCTCTTCGCCCTTGTCTTGAGAACAGCAGTAGGGGAAAGACTCTGGCAATGTTAGACGATTCCTAAGTTATCTGTGTTAGTTTAATTGACTGCATTTCACACAGCCTTGGGCTCCAAACAGACTAACGTATGGTGTACTGACCATATGAGCAATGAACAGTTACCTGGCCTCAACTGTACAAGCAGGCTCATTTCTGTTCTTATGAGGAGGATTCTCAGAAAAGCGGGAGAGGAAGACAAGGGAAGAAAACTTATGTTCACCTATTCTGATGCCTCTATTTTTAGCCAAGTTTCTATTGAACTTGAAAGAGGTAAATTTTCACAAAAAATTTTGTAGTGGACTAACTGTAAAATATGAGACAAACATTGGACATAGAGGGAAGGACGGTTGTTTTTGCATCAAGTTTGTTATCTGACTTACAGGCTGCAGGGTAGTGTTTAGATAATATGAATTTAAATAAAGTGACTTGGGATGTAAACATGAGCACTGGACGTTTATTCATAATGAAGACTGGAGTCAAGGAAGCCTTTCTGTTCTTGCTGTTTTCTATCCTAACCACACGTGTCCCATCCACATCTTTCTCCAGGGTCAGACTATTAGATAAAATAAAATGACTTTGGACCTGTAAACAGAAAGCCTACTGCATGTTACCTGAGCTAGGAGGAACGGAGCAGTTCCTGCTTCTAGGGGGAGCTACGACAAATAGCTGCCCTCAATAGCTATCAGAGGTTGGTCAGTGCTGTCCCTCTCTTCAGCTGGTGCAGGCACTGGAAACAAGGATTGGGGAGCAGCTATCCTTAATCTGCAGTCATGAGGTAGATGAGGTTTTTATCTTTACCATAATGCTTAGTTCAATAGAGTATGTATTCAGCTTATTCTTTTACTTTGCTTGTTCTTACGAATTGGTCATAGTTCATTTTCTTTCTTAGCTCTACTTTCTACTAGAATTGTAAAAGAAAGACCTGCAATAAACTTTCTTCATTAAAAAAAAAAAGTCGCTCATTTGTTTAAGAACTCAGTTATTTTGTCAGTGAAAATGCAGTCTTATTCTCTCTGTACAGTGAGGTACCTTCCAAAATGATTTAATAAAATTAATTTGAGGGATTCTCATAACCTTTTAAAGCTTATTGACTTCTACAGAAGACAGGGGAGTACATGACTGACACGAGTGTTTTACGTTTTGAAGTAGCAATTAAAGATGAAAAAGTGTCAACTGATAACTTAAGGTCATGGTACAGCTGAAAGATCTACAACATCTTGGCAAAAAAGGAGTAGTAAAGGTATTATAACATATCAACTGTCTTAACTGTGATAAAAAGGTTGAGCTACAACCAGTTGTTGTGCTCTAGAGGTTTCACGAGGAGCCACCCCGCTACCACAGAACCCCAAACACAAATGTGTCACGCATTATATATTATAATTTATTAATTGTATTAACTGTAACTATTAATTTTTACTATATAATTATATAGTAATATATTGCTATACCAATATATATATTTAATGTGTTGTACATTTCTATTATTTTTACATATATATATAAAAACACAACAGCTCCCAGTTCTAAACTATTACTTTGTCTCATGGAAGAAGAAAGTAAAGACATACATACCTGCATTTATGTTCCTGAAGTTCATGACTTATCAACATCTAAACAGTCTTAGACAAGTATTTTCGTTCACAGAGCAGAGGCAGTTGATAGACAATGCAAAAACTCCGATTTCTAAATAGTGACCACAGCTGCAAAAGATGATTGTATGGCCAGCATAATCAGATTAAAAACATGGGCTAGCCAGGCAAGTTCTTAACACCGTGCATGATCTTAGGATCACTACTCCCTGCCTTAATTCAGTTCCACAGATGTTAAATCTGTGGGTGCATGGGTTTTTGCTGCTCAGGGCACCCCAGTTAAACATAAAGCTCTGCTGGCTGACACTAAAGTGCTTAATGAAGGCTCCTAAGTATTGCTTTTTGTTTGCAATCTACTGCACTTCCATTTAATCCTTCTCTCTTGGCAGAACCATACATTGCTGGAAGAAGCCCATGTTGGGTGCCAATAAATCTGTCAAAGTTTAGGGCTAGGCTGGGAACCAGAGAGAGAGAGACTTGAATCCATTTAATGAAAAAAAAAGATTCTAATAACAATGAATACTATATACATGTGTGTGTATATATATATATATACATACACACACACACACACACATACATATATTAACGAGTATACAGGTATCTGCAAGTATACAAAAGAATATGCTATCATGGTACCCAGACCTTCTGGATGATAACAAGGTCCTGAGCAGGAAAAAAGTCCCAGACTGGACTTGGCAGCAGACGGGCACCCCTGAGCCCAAAGTCCCAATAACATTAAAAAAAAAAAAAACCACCCCAAAACAGAAAAGGATCTGTGCTTCTCCCACCTGGGGTGGGGCAGGTAAAGACAACCTGTTCTGTGGAATGTTGTTCCTCTGCAGTGTGGAAACAGGAGGCAGGAGCACTGGCAGCATGGGGAGAGATGGTGAAGAGCCGGCAATCCTCCCAGCACAGCTGGCACTGAGTGCCCCAGAGCTCCTTCCATGCGAAGGACCACTGTGATTGGTCCATTTGGGTCACCTGACCCACCCTCTCTTCCCCATAGGCACAGCTGCCCTCCTCCCCAACTTGTGATTGGCTCCTGGGCCAGGAGCCCCCCGAGAACTACACTGGTGCCCTCAAACCAGGACATCATCTTAGCTCTTTTGAACGTGTTCATACATTGGCTCCCAATGGAGCCAATTCTGCAGTTTTAGATTTGAAATCCCAGAACTAAATGGTCCCCTGCTGTAAATCAGCATAACACCAAGTTTACTGAGATTCACATCAAATTTTACCCTTACAGGCAATTACCCCCATTCCCGAACTTATAAAATTAACTATAACAATTATCAGAGTACATTAAGGTAGATGATGTTTTATGCTACTTTTCAGAATCAGACCAGCAACCTACAGAAATGTGACACTTCACAAACCATAAAACCAGCAGTGGAGACAAACTGCACCAGCTTGGTGTGGCCCAGCAACCATTCAAATGCTTCGGAGACAGCCCAGCAAAAAGTTCCCATTAGCATTATTTTCCTAAGGGATGGATCATGGCTGGCTTAAAATTGTATTGATGGGTTTTACTTAAAACAGAGGTACGCAAAATTATAATGTGAAAAGCCAAACGTAGCCCCAGCTATTGAGAAGATCTGCTGCAAGCCTAGTCCTCCATTCGTAGTCAGAAATTATGTAGTCAGCATTTTCATGAGCAACAGATACGCCATCTATGGGACACCACTTATTAAGCTTCAATATTAAATTACCTTTCTGTCTTGTGATATTGGTTTACCTGTGTATAGATGCTGTCTCACCACAGGTCAACAGTACGTTAGGCAACCAAGTTGTCCTATTTTAAAATATTAACGGTCGTCCAACCTCTCGATCAGTGTAAATCAGCTACTGATTTTACTGATTTTACTGAACTCAGTAAAATTACCCACACATACATCAGTGGGGTTGTGGGGAGCTGTTTATAAATAGCAAATTATACAAATGTGTCATGCAATAGAAAAATTTCCCAGCTTCTAATCCCAATGTGCTTCCTTTCATAGACATTTGCTTGTTCTTGACAGACCAAGTATTAAATTTGCAGCTTTGCAGGGAATATACGTACTCCACAAAGGCATGATAAGACTATTTTCAGCAGAAATTTAGCATGGGAAAGTCAAGGGCTGTATTTATAATTCATGACAATTCAAAAAGCTAATATTGCAACACAAATCTTTGCATCATATAGAGAATCATCTCCATGCTTCCATGTAAATGAAGGCTCCTGATCTGGAAAATTATGGCAGTCATCTTGTTAACACACTGTGGTTTTTGTCAGTCTATAATTCGAAGCAAATAGTATCACCTAAAGTGACAGAACCAGCGATAGAAACCACAAACGAAAGTACCAAATAATTATTTTTGCCTTTCCATATAGTGATGAGTCATTGTATTTGTCCCTTTTCTTTTATGGGTAATTTTTGTGATAGCAGTTTCTGATAGTTTAGGTTTCGTGACTCAGGTGACAGTGCAAAGATTTGGTTTTGTACTTGTCTACTTTCAGTGGGTTCCCCAAGTACAATCGTGGAGCTGTATACACACAAAATCACTTTTTTTAAATTTTTTTTTTAGGATAATTCTGCATAACCTATTCAGCATGTAAGTGCTTGTGTCTTTCAACTGATGTTCATAGTAAAAATTCTCCTCACAATTTGTTACTTGCTTCACGGTAACTAAGAGCAGAAGACACATAAAAGCATATCAGCTCCCAAGGGAATCTTTTTAGAAGATGAAGCTACTACAATATAATTTAAATAAATTTAAAAACTTTCACATTAGATTTCATAATTGGCACCGTTGTCACAGAAAGCGTCATGGTAAGTCGAAGAACACTGCTTGCTAACAGCATCCCACTGAGACATCTTGCTAAAAGTTAGTATTTAGGAACTAAAATTTAAAACAAGACATAACCTGCTCCTTCATTCTGTATCTTGTGTTGCAAAGCAGGGATAGCTCATACAAAGGCTTTCATGGGTGTACAGGTTCACACGTGGAGCTCATCTACTTGTCCAAACACCACAAACCCCAGTCTTCTAACCTTGCAAGAGGCACAGAAACATGACAGCTGCTCAGGCTACTGCTGTGCACCTGTAGGATGAAATCCCACCTCTTTTCTTCTAATCACAGACACACATAAAGGTTAAGTAACACATTGATGGGACACGGCATCTTTTTTCCACACTAAGGTGAGTCTTCTCCCGTACGAAGACAAGTTTTCTCATGAAATGGAAATGAACTGCTAATATGCCACGTAGCACAGAAGAAATCACAACAACTGCAGCAAATGTTCATGACAACTTTGGTAAGATTAAACTCTCAGCGATCTTGTAGGCAGTAAATCATTTGCCAAAACCACCTGATATAGACCGATGTTTTGCTAAGTCTAAAGCCCTAAAAAATCAAAACAGTAATCAAGGCTATATAGATTTATAAGTAAAGGAATGCCACATTTGAAGAGTTTACCCACGCAAAAATATTATTGATATTTTAGCTGTATTCCCCTAAAACA